GTCAGCTAGTCCATTTAAATAAAGTGACTTGTGCATTTACATGCTATACAATTTCCTGCTGAACCATCTCCATCTCCAGAGTAGCTCTAGATACCTAAATTGGAAATAGTTACTTTAGGAGAATGTGCAGAAGCAAACAAAAACTATGGAAGAATTAAACAGAACATTAGGGTGCTGCAACCTGAAAAAGAAAAAGGATACTGTACCACACTGTTAAATTTCAACACAAAAAACTTCTCCAAATTCAGGGTGTGAATATTAGGATAGCAATAACATACTCAAAGGCGATTTTTCCTTAATAATTACAGTATTACTCTTGTTGGTATTAATATTTTATGACATTAAGTACGCTAGAAGGATTTTAATTTTCCTCAAGGTCAACCATTATCAGAAGCTGAAAGACCCCTCTATTTTATAAACTGGTTTCCAAACCAAAGAAAGACATACCTTTGAAATAAAGGCACTGATTTGTATCAGAATATCAATCTCAAATTCTCACTCTACAATTTCACTGGTTTGTGTTGTAACAACTAATGTAGGAACATTTCTTTAAAAGCTAGCAATAATGCTAAAAATATCAGGAATAATGTAACACCTTTCTTCCAATGTGTCACCCTTGGGTAGAAAAAGAATCAGGTGATCTTAAGAGATATAAACACATTTTAAGGTCCTTAACAATTATAAGTTTGCACCTTCTACCCGCTCAGCCTTTCTAATGCTGAATCTGCATTACCAAGAAAATGTATGAGAGAGATACCAGCACTCCTTAACTGACCAGCCCAAAGATCTGAGCTTGAAAACTAGAAGTAGATGTACAGTAGAGAACAAAATCTACCTGCAAGTAAGCATTATTAAAAAAATAGGAATTAAGCACATACAATTATGCAATTTTATTCTAATAAAATACTAACAGCAGCCATGTAATGTAAAACTCTAAAGTACTGCCACTCTGTTTTAGGGGATAAGATATCAAATCCAACCATATTATATATACTTTTCTGCAATTACAAAACACAACATAGATATTAATCAATTAACATCAGAGCAATCTATTTATTACTGAAAACAGAATGTTATCAACGTCTGTTTTTTTAGCCAATACACTGATGCATCAATATGAACTCCTGTGTATTCTCTTCCTTTAATATATACAGATCAATGTTTCCTCTTTCATCATTATTTTTCTGTGGAAGAACTGGATCGTCTCCAAACAGAAAGCTGGCATATTTCCAAGGAAGAGGTAAATATAAACCACTTGTTTATATTTACTCGAATCAATGCTCCAGCACCTCAAGAAAATAGACCACCAATATTAATAAAACTATACTTTAGGAGTATTATCAGTATTATTAAAATTAGATAAAGTTAAATTGTGCTTCAAAGGTCTACCACTTTAGTTAAGACACCTTAATAGGATACTTCAGAAGATAAATTAAAATACATTTTATATGAAGGCAGGTTTCCACTTACTATATTAATTCTGTGATAAACAGTTGCCACAGGATGTTTTTTTGTCACAAGTAGGTAATAGAAACTTGTCCAGCTTTTCTATATTGTTAAAATAACCTCAGATTTCTCACACCGTTTAATATTCTGCTAGTTTGCCTGGGGTATATATCAATCTAATATTAAATTCCTCTTTGGTTCAAGTGGGGATGATATGTACCTTTACCATATAATGAATATACTTATTCTTCATGGAAGTGTGAAAAAGCTCTGGCTTTCAATTATTCTGCCAACCAGAAAAGTTGATTTGTAGATAGGCATGGACTTGGAATTTACAAAATATTCCCGGAGAGAAGGCCAAAATCAGTTTCTTCATTATCAGGAGGATCTCAAAGGTATTCAAAGAAATTGCAGTTTTATGGAAAAATAAACTAATTAATAACTGCCCCCTCCCCAAAGTCCAGAACAACTAGAGATACTTGTTTTCATGATTCCTCTGAAATTCAACAGGAGAAATCAACAAACAGGAGTCTGCTTTCTCTCACATTGAAATCTGATGATACAGTAGTGAGAATGCAAACTGGGCTTGGAGAAAATATAGATTAGGAAACTAATCTGGACTCCTCTTTCACAACATTCTTAGTTCAAACAATGTAGTAGAACAATTACTGAGCTATTTAAATGAATATGGACTAGTCTCAGAATGAAAAAGTGTTTTATGCAATCCCAGTGAGATCGACGTCACCCCTCCAGCAAAAGATTTTCAACTCTACAAACTTAACAACCTACATAGATCTTTTTCAAAATGTCAGCTCTTCCAAAGCTGTGAATCCCTGAAAGAGCCAGCAGAACTGTCTGCATGCTCATATAATGTGTAAGACAGGCCTACACAACCACATCCATGCCAATGTACAAATAAAACACCTGATCCAGAAATCTGTACTATATTGAGTCATACTGGGGGTCCATCAAGTTCAGTTTTGTCTCTAGTGACAAACTGAAGCTCTCCAAGGTTTCAGACAGCAATACTTTTGGGTGATGATGGAAATTCAGTCTGGGACCTTTTGTCCATAAAAAATACAAAACTGAGAGCCAGTTTTGTGTAGCAGCTAAAGTGCTAGACTACAAACCAGGAGACCATGGGTTCTAGGCCTCCCTTAGGCATGAAAGCCAGCTGGGTGACCTCTCTTAGACCAACCCACCATGTGGGGAAAACAGGAGGCAGGAGCATTACCTATGTACGTGGCCTTGAGTTGTCAAAAAAATAAAGGTGGGATAAAAATCTATCAATCAATCAAACATTCTACCACTGAATAGTAGCCTTTGCCAAGCTAGAACAAGTTGCTCAGTGCTCTACTACTGTGTATCTAACATTTCAAGGAGGACTTTCAAACATACTTTAATGAGGTTCTACTTCTAGATTCTACTTCACTGGAAGTTAAGGATACTAAAGCCAAGCCATATGCATTTGGTTTGAACTTGCTACAATATAGTGTCTCTCATTCTCACTGCGTAGTTGGGAAATTTTCTCAAAAAAGGAGATGACTCCCCTAAATTTTATTAATTTAATGAATACATTTCACTGAATTTCAGAAAGACTCAAGAATTCCATGGAAACATGCTTAGCAACATAATCCAGCTATTTTTCATGTTAAATACTTTTCAAAGAGGTAAACTAGTCAGTTAATTTTTTTACTTTGAAAGAGCAACTGCGATATGGTTCAAAAAGCTGTTGGCCAAGGTGTTTTTGTTCATGGAACACATGCTTCACCAGTTTACACTGATTTCACATTTTCCTGTAGCACAAAGGATACCTTAATTATGTATCTTGCGATAAAATTTATCCCTTAGCTGCAACTTGCATCAATACATCACAATCTTTCCTCCCTTTAGGTGACATATTGCAATTTAATTCAGCCCTACAGATAAATAAAGTAAGTATCCTAGGCCTCCAAATGTTTACAACTTCACTTACATTTACCTGTGTGTTACAAAATGGCTGAATCAATTGTCTTGCAATTTGCTCTTCTGGAAGATACTGAGAAACTGCACAGCTGTTTTAGTCTGCTTTTATGTCCTAAGCACAAAAGCATAACCAATTTTTAAATGGCTACATTCTAGAAAAAGGTGAACCTTTCATCCAAAGGGTTTCTTCTCACTTTTAATCAGTGAGGAATACTCAACTGCTTCCAGTGACCACTTTGCAAGTAGAATAAGCTTTCTGCTCAGCAAATGCCCTTCACCTCCCGAAAGGACACTGTGCGGTTAAATGTCTCTTATCTGGAGGCCACAGTACAACAGCTGTGGTATCACCCACACCAAACAGTGACAATACAATCAGAAAACATTAACAAAGAGGGCTGCTTAGAGCAGAAAGCGGTGCTACATAACTTCTGCTTTGAAGTAACTATGAGAACTGTTGCCAAATGCATTCACATTGCATGACACAATTATTATATTCAGAAATTATATGGAATACAAGAACAGACAGACATAAGCTTCAGGATTGTACCCTCCCTCCTCCCCTTTATTCATGTACTCTTGCACAAGCTTGCAATTCTGTTTTGTGGCAACTCATTTTGCAGAATCATCCAGACCCCATTCATCCAAAATACAGCTTGCCTCAAAATTAGGATCACAAAACAGAATTATGGTTTGTGATCCTTATTCGTGGGAAACAGTACTGCAAACCAGAGTTTATCCTGTTCAGATGTAATGACAAATAATGCTTTGGAACAAACTTCTAACATGCCTTCCTTCCATGTGGAGAAGAAAGGAAAGAATATTCCTCAGAAGTGAAGAATTTGTGGCCCTCAAAGGTAGCTGGACAACAACTCCAAGCTTAGCCAATGCTGGGATTTGGAATGCTCAGTGACATTATGCTCCCCAGCCCAAAACACATGATTTGAGCTTAGCCCCCCTCTTCTCATTGTGCCAAACAACTGAGAAAAAATGTCCTATGCTGGATTGAATTATTTGTCTAGCCCTAATTTTCTACCTGCCCAGATCTCCTGAATATTTCCCATAACCTGCTCTGGTTGTTTTAACTGAGTAAGTCAGGGACTAAATCAGGACCTGCCACACACAAGGATACATTCAGCAGCTAGTCTCTGGACTCATCCTAGACAATCAACATTATGTTTCAAAGCAGACAGATATAACACACCTATATAGGAGAAATTCTATAGTATATAACAACTAAAAATAAAATTCCTTCATAACAAAATAGTTTTTCACACATTATTTTATAAGCAGTAAAAAAAAAAAAAAATTCTTCAAGGCTACATAGCCTTTACAGTGGGAATGTTACTTTTTTACTGGACAACAAACCTTTTACATCTTCCTACAACATGATGCTATTGACAACACAGGCCACCGGACAAATCCAGAGAAGCTCCAGATGTACTTCATCCATCCACCACCTCATCCAGCACTTAAGAGCATGTACCAACCGTACTTACGCAAGGGAAAGCCTTTCTGTGATGATACATCATTTGCATAACTGATGTGTTTTCCTTGGCTCATACTATCACTATTATTCAAAAGATACTTACTTTGTAATACGATCAATGTTAGCAATTTGCTTCTGGTTTCTGATGATTTCTATAGCTGACCAGAGATGTTGGATCGCTTTTGTATCTGCTTGCCGCCGTTTCGTTAAACGTGCCATGTCCCCTTTACTGACTTAACTGCAAGAGAAACAGCAATTGGAAATAAGATTATCTTGCATGTAAGATTACAAAGAAAATTAAAACACTATTTTTAAAGTTGCATCAACCATGTATGTGTAGGTTCATACTCAATATATAGACAGTCAATTTCTGAATACAGTAACAAAAGGCCACTTTAGTTATCAGGCAGAAATCTGAAGGAGTATAGAGTGTTCCCCTTAGAAAGAGTTTGACTCCACAATAAAGCTGGTGCCATTTAGCAAATAGCTAGAGTTCGTGGAGACTAGTTCATATACATATGTAAAAGGGTATTATATGCAAAATCAAAATTTTAAACTGCAACTCCCTTACAACTGATCTGACTGCTAAAGACCAATAAAATTGCTTCTTGGGCAGCATGTAACCAGTTGGCAGATCTTTAATAAATCTAGTCTTCCTCTCCATAAACAATATTCTGTTACTACCTCCTTTCCCCCAATATATGTATTCCTAGAAGGAAATTTTGGAATTAATTACAGCAAAATGTGGGAAGGGGGCAGTTTCATAGAGCACAGATGGCAGAATTCTTCCATGCCTATCACACTGTCTAGCCTAAAAGAAGAAATAACTGTTGAGCATCTGCTAAGAAAACAGAGATTTTCTATATTACTGGAACCAGAGGATGGTGTTTCTAGAAAACACTTTTAAGAGTTCCTGAGAGGACCAAAACTATCCTTAGAGGACCTAGGCCACAAATACAATACCTTGATCTACTTTATAGCCACTAACAGGATGTCTACCACAGCTCTCTGAGTCCTAGTTCAATCTATCTGGGAGAAGTTCAGATTTCATCTCACAACTGTCTTTATTTAGACCAGCCTGTGGTCTGCCCTGAAGCATGGTGGGCCTGCCTGAAATTCTGAAGATGGGTTTCACCAACATTCTAAACAGTTGGAATGGCTATCAGGGTTTTGGAGTCAGGCATCAAACTCTCTTGTAGAAGGAAGAAAAGAAGAAGCTCTCACAATACCCCAACTTCTTCAACACTTGTTACTAATTTTTTAAAAAATAACAGTTCAATAATCTCTGATAAGACACTTCTTCATACAAGAAGACAAGTTGTGACCAACTGCTATTTCTTTTCTGATCATATCCAAATATTAACATGGATGTCTCTCCCAGCAATTTACAACAGACCTGATAGTTGCTGCAAAGTGGCATTCGTGACTTTCTCTCTTGTTTCCTGAAGGGCCTGTAGTTCTTTCAATGCATTAAAAATCTGCATTCCAATCATGGTTTTCTAAAACACTGAACAATGGAACCCAGGCTTGCAGTGAAGGCAGAGCAGATAAGCAAGATCCCCAACTGGAGACTGCTTACTGACTCATTAATTTGTAAGACTTCTTTGGTACCATTTGAGCTTCTCTCTAACTTCTAAATATCCCCAACCTCAAGGAGGGGAAGAGGATGAAATTCACTAGCCCAAATTCATTCATGAAAAGACACACCATACTTTCTCATTAGCTCTAAATGCAGTCACTATGATGGTGAGACTTGCTTCAGTTGAATATTATTAACACAACCTACTGTGTTACTAATACTCAGAAATACTTGGTTGTAAAGTTCTTTCCACATTAAGACTGTATCCAGAATAATAACGATTTAGAAGTAGAATTTCTACTTTAAACGTGCCTTACAGTATCTCTGCATCCTTTAAAAAAAGTAAAATTGGTGCATAGTAGAGCTCTACAATTTATAATAAAGCTCTTAAAACAAAGTACTATAGCTTATTTTCACTGATCCTGCCCCACCCGCAACCTTTTACCCATCTAAACAGCTATGAGCAATACAGTAACAACAAAGCACCTGGTGCTGCTACATAATTATTCCAAAGCAGCAGGCAGAAGGTATAGATAAGCCAAATATCTCCTACAATCATTGCAGGCTAGAAATCTCTGCTTTTAAAGAAGTTAGTGATGCATTTGATCACTATTTAACTTGGTTCTAAAGGTGCCCCTTTCAGCATAGCTGATCAATAGCAGACATTAACACATATGCAACATTCTAGACAGTGATGAGTTGAAGATTAATGTAGAGCAAATGAAAAGATCATTTTAAATAACCAGTCTACAATATAAATACAAATGACAGAATGCTCTTATGTTGGAAACGGTTAGAGAATGAGACAGGAACTTTACTAATATAAACTACAGAATGGTCATGTTTGTATATAACAATCAGCCACAGATTATTTTTCCCTTAAATTATTGTGAACCAGCAGCATATTGGTGCAAACGAAATAATCACACATTGTTTGTACGAGGATCTGGTTTTGGGTTATAAAACTTGGTTGTCTGGGGACGGTATATTAAGATGCCAGATCTTAACATCAGAGATTATTGCTTTTTGGTAAGTTCTGCCCATTCATCAACAGAAAAGTGAACAGATTAAGTATGCTACACTTATTAAGCCTGGTAATCAGAATAATTTAGGAACCCAAGCTTAACATTATGTGAGAGGATGCTTTTCAATTGACATCCTTCAGATGTGGGGGGGGGTATAAATCTAGGTACATGATAACAATCTTTTGGCTTGCATACTGCTGCAATGTGGAACTCTCGTGTTTTATTAGACCAGCTATGGTTGTCATTATGGTTGTTTCATGTATGGCTGTGAAAGCTACACCATCAGAAGAGCTGAACGAAGAAAATCGAGGTCTTTCATCTGTGATTCTGGACAAAAATGCTGAGAGCACTTTGGACAAGAAGAAGAACAAATAATTCAATAGCAGAGGAAGTAAAATCCAAGAACTCATTGGAAGCACTAAAAATGAAGCTAAAGCTTAAATATTTTGGACACATAATGTTAAGGCAAGAGACCCTGGAGAAGACCCTGATGCTTGGAAAAACTGAAGACAATAAAAAAGAGGTTAACAGAAGAGAAGGTGGATACTATCACTGATGACACAAATATGAGCTTATAAGAACTCAAAGAAGCAGTTAGTGATAGACAACCCTGGCTACTGTCCAGAAGATCTGAGTCAAAAGCAACTAAAGGAACACCATCACAACACTTGTTGCTAAAATTCTTACTCTCCTATCCTATCCTGCCACATTTCTTTATTCCATGAGAGACAGAGAGGGTGTTGATTTAAGACTGAAGAGATACAAGTTCAAATTCTTACTCAGATATGATACTTCTTGGGCAACTACCAGTCAATCTTCATCTTCATCTTAACAAAATTTGTATATACTGACATAAGCTTAATGGTAAGGTATAAGTATAAGAAAAGGACAAATGAATCAACTTCTATTAAGTCTTGCAAAACCTAGCTGCTGAGCCCTTCATCCTTTAATGGAAGAATATGCCTTACACCTGAACCAGCCAACTTTTTTTTGGTCTTGTGCAACAAACCAGAGTTTGGTGCATAACTTACAATCATTAATATTTCTAGAATTCCTTTCATTCTTCCATGGTAAAACTTTTTATGAAAATTGTTCCATGTGGCATGCATTTATAATTTAGATAGCCAGATGTTTTCAGAATAACATGAAGTTTCTAAGGAAATTGAGAAAACAAAAACATTTTTGGGATCAGTATTATTTTATTTTAAATCCTTCCTGGGGCTGGAGGAATGGAGCTCAAATCTTCACATTTGAGCTCCATTCCTTTACGCCGCTGAGTGGGGAAGGGAAACCCCTCGGCAGTGGACAGGAACAGAGCTCAAATCCTGAAGATTTGAGCTCTGTTCCTCCAACCCCAGGAAGGATGTCCCCTTCATCCACAGAAGGGAGGGCAAGCCCTTTGGTTGCCTTTAAGAATGTTTGAGAGCAAAAGGGCTGCCTGCCGGGAGGATTTCAGTTCTATGCAGAGCTGAAACCATCTGGCAGGCAGCCCTTTTGCTCTCAAAGAGGGGTTTCTGCTCCCCACTCAGCGGTGGGAAGAAATGGAAGATTTGTGCTCCATTCCTTCACACCACTGAGAGGGGAGGGGAAATCCCTCAGCAGAGGGAAGGAACGGAGCTCAAATCTTCAGGATTTGTGCTGTTTCTTCACACTGCTGAGGGATACTCCCTCCCCTCCATGAACGGAGGGGAAATCCTTCGTGGGGCTGTAGGAACAGAACTTAAATCTTCAGGATTTGAATTCCATTCCAGCACACTGCTGCATCCCCTCCACTTGCAACCTTCCCTGCTGGCTTCCAATGGGGAAGATGGCAGAGAAGATTGCAAATGGTGATCACATGATTGTGTGGTGCTTGGCAACTGGTACTAAATGCGAGCAGATTGCCAAGTGCCCAAAATGCGGCCATGTGACTGGGGGGACGCAACATTTTACGACAGTCAGAAGTGCTTTATGGGCTGTAAAGCACCCTTTCTGAGGCCGTCATAACTTTGAACGATCGTTAAATGAACAGTCATTAAGTGAGGACTACCTGTACCTGGCTAATATCTGTGTTCAGTTGTATTCACTCATCTTCTGCCACCATCTGTAAATATGCCCCCTTTTGCCACCTCATATCCTGCAGTAAACCATGGAACTCACCAAAGTCAGTGAACTGACAGATGTGGCTTTGAAGCGACTGCATCCCCTTATTCTAGAGATTAAGAAGGCTTGTGATGGAACTGCCCAACCTACTGCTAAGATAATCCCCAAGCACCTCCTGAAAAACAAAGTGATCCATCAGACATCTGGGGTAGACCATCTTAACCTTAATCTTTCTTGTGGAGGTCCACAGTGCTGAAGTCACAAGCTGACCAGAAAATGATCTGACCATGACAAAGGATTAATCACAATGTCCTCCAACTTCTCATCACAAGCCATCTGCTCTGAGGTAAAAACTAGATCAAACACACTGCCACTTCTGAGGTAAAAACTGCCCCACTGAGGTAAAAACTAGATCAAAGACACTGCCACTTCTAAACACTTATTTGAGACAAGTTATCTTAGACACCAAGAATTCCTGGGCCATTCCTTAGTATATGTATTATAATGGCAATCAATATTCTAATTTCATGCACCTGACAAATTAATAGTTTA